CTTAGATCAGCTGATCAGCTCCTTCTAAAAGCACCTAGAGCAAAGCGGAAGCTCAGAGGGGACCGAGCATTCTCTGTGGCAGCTTCCAAACTGTGGAATGCCCTCCCCCTTTCTATCAGACAGGCCCCTACACTCAGCTCTTTTAAAACCCTTTTAAAGACCCACTTTTTCTCTCAGGCCTTTGTGTGAGACTTCGACTTTATCTTAGTTGTCTTAATTTCCCTCTCTTACTTGGTTTTGTTTTTTCTTATTTTTCTTATTTTTTTATTTACTTATTTTTTATTTTTTTTTACCTCTTACTGTTTTTTTTTTTTTTATCTTTGAGTTTGTCTTGTGTTGTGGTGATAATTGTGTTTTATAATCTGCTCAAATAACCTGTACAGCGCTTTGATTTTAGCTTTGGCTGACTGAAAGCGCTTTATAAATAAAGTTGAGTTGAGATGCTTGGTTCCAGGTAATCAGAGATTTACTTTCATACAGAAAGCCCACACTATTATCTTCAGGTAACACAGAATACATGTCCGATTAAATAATACTACTTCAGCGACAGCATCTAGGTGTTACTTTATTGTATGTCATATGTCATGTTTGTTGGCTGTGCTGTTCTTTTTACATCTCTTTGCAGGTGATGAAGCAGACTAAAATATGTTTTATCATTATCTCCCTTTTATCTCCTCTTTCTTTCATCTTTTCTTCTTTTTTCCCTCTTCAGTTCTACCAACATTGCAGTGTCCATATAATCTGTAAAACTACCTGCCTAATTATAATAAAGCAATTTATATGCATACAGTAAATCAAGCGGAAAGTAAAATCTGTTGGGCTCTTCTAGTGTTCCTTAAGCAGTACCGTGAAGGAATGAGAGCTGAGAGAGAAAACACCAATAAAGATTGTTAATGACGTACATGAAACCATATACAGAAGCAATCTTTACAATCCATGTTTTATTCTGCTTGGTTCATCCATCTAGAAGTGAATACATTCATGGAAAACATCCAGTGCAGAAAACAATGCAATAAAATCTAGTTCTATAAAACAGACGATAGTTTCTCTAAATGACAGAAGGTTATTAAAA